GGCCCTTTAATCGCAAGGTGTGGTAACCAAGCCCGTAAACCATACACGTCTTACCAATCGCCAGGTGTGGTAACCCCTCTTGTGATCAGTTGGTTTTGCTGATTGCGAATCGGCTTCGCATGAAGTTTCGATACTGCTTCACGACAGCGCCAAGGCCTCATGACTTAGCTCTTCCATGGCCCATTCTCCGAGAGAGGGGGCCGGCGGCAGGGAGAGAAGCCCTTACGGATATACCTCGGCCCGACCGTGCAATGCCCCAGCATCGACTTGACCAGCAGGGTTAGGGTCCGCAAGTGGTCGCAGGTGCTCGCTGTCGAAATATCCGCTGCGGTGCAGTGCCCGCCGTGGTCCGCCGCTGAGAACGTCTCCTCCTCCTCCTCCTCCTCCTCCTCCTCCTCCTCCTCCTCCTCCTCCTTCTCCTCCTCCTCCTCCTCCTCCCCGAGGCGTTCCCCGAAGCTCCCCCCCCATGGGGGGAGGACCATCGCGGCGTCGACGATCTCTAGGGAGAGGCGTCGAGACCGATGTCTGGGAGGCCGCTCCTCTTTGTGCTCCACGGGACCGACGTTGGCGCCGAGCGACCATCGATGAGCGAGCAGGAGGAGGAGGAGGAGGAGGAGGAGGAGGAGGAGGAGGAGGAGGAGGAGGAGGGAGGAGGAGGAGGAGGAGGAGGAGGGAGGAGGAGGAGGAGGAGGGAGGGGAGGAGGAGGAGGAGGGAGGAGGGAGGAGGAGGAGGAGAGGAGGAGGAGGAGGAGGAGGAGGAGGAGGAGGAGGAGGGAGGAGTGAGGGAGGGGGAGGGAGAAGGGATGAGGGGGGAGGAAAGAAGGAGGATGGGCCAAATCCGCTTCCTCCTCGTGGGGGCTATCACCACGCACGTCGACTACTCGCTGTCAGCCGCGGGAGGCCCCTCCCAGGAGGTCTCCGTGGGAGCAAGCAGCGAGCGCCTGATCCCGATAAAGGAGGCCTCCTGCATGGGGTCGGAGCAGACGGGATCGGAGGATCGCGCAGCATCGGCGATGCATCGGCGATGCATCGGCGAGCATCGGCGCGACGTCGGCGCGACGTCGGCGGTGCATCGGCGCGACGTCGACGTTGCATCGGCGACGTCCTCGCGACTCAAAACGGGACCCACATGGAGCCGCATCACCGATGGATCGGCGATGTGGAGCGGTCCTTCGACCCCACCTACTCGGACCACATCCGGGAAGGCTTAACGAAAAAGCAACAAAACAAATTTAGCTGGATCAACACAAGATGAAGCGGAAGTAACCGGATCAGACGGAATTACATCGAATTAAGCTAGCTCCCTACCAGGGATACTCCATGGGTTCCCCATCGGAGAAAGCCCCCCCGCCAGCCCCAAGCTGTGGAACTCCTGCCAGCGCCCGCGCCAAAAGCGATTCCACTAAGAGTGTCGTGCTTTGTCGCTCTTCGACTTCCCAGGGCCCCTTCAGGGCCTCGGGACGGTCAAACAGCACAATGAGGGAAATGCTCCTAAATAAGCAACTGGGCAAGGGAGGGCGCAATTGTGCTTGGCATTTCTCTGCGTTGCTTGGCGATGCTTTGCATTGATGTGTTTTGTTTGGTAATGTTTGGTATTGTTTAGCTACGTGTGGCCTTGACATTGCCCTGCGTTGCTCGGAATTGCTTGACGCTGATTGGCATTGTTTAGCACCCGGGCAGCCAGGCAACCCGGGCAACCAGGCAGCCGAGCAACCCGAGAAAGGATGCCCTAGGAAGGTCAAGCACCGCCTCTTGGAAGCGACGTCGCACCCACCGCTCCCTGAACAATCACACTGACCTCTCTTAGGCAAAAGCCAACACATCCGTCCCAGAACTCCACTTCGAAGAGAATCCAGCCGTGGCCACGGGGGCGCCCCACGAGGACCAGAACTGCGCCCGAAAGCCGCGAGACCGCTCGAAACCGGATCCTGGAGCCTCGAAGACGATGCATCACGAGTCCTGGCGTAGACCCGAAACCCCGACGTCGTGTTTTTTGTTTTGGCAACGTGGACCCCCGCTCTCGGCCCCCTTCCCGGGGACGGGCGTTCCGTCCAAGATCATTTGTTTGACGGTCGTGGGGCTCGAAAACGGCCCACGGAGGCCAACGAACGCGAAACGCAACATCCGCCACAGTGCCCGCTGGCACGTTAAGGCGTGGACAAACTGCCAAGGCCTGCCTGGCATCACTCCTGAAATTAAATTGAAGACCACCCCTCCCACTACTCGCGGACTGGTGCGTGAAGCCCCCGAACTCACCGAGGCCACTCGCCTCGAGGATGGTGCACTTCCAGCATGGAAGCTACTATTGTGGATGCCATTACAATAGAAACTCGAACAATCCGATCATTGAATTAAAGATGTGCTTAAAATGTATAAAACATGGTCTAAAAACGTTTCAAACATGTTTTACCTATTTGAAACTTGTTTGAAACATGTTTTAGACATCTGGGAAGTATTTGGCAGCATGCTTCCTCTCCAGTAATCGACTTCCACCAAGCTACTGCCTAAACCAAAATTTCACGTCTGTCCGCTCGAGGACCGTGGCAGCTCATGCCGGAAGCCCCAATTCAACGCGTGCCCGCTGGAGGATGGTGCACTTCCCGCGTGGCAACTGCCTGAACCCTCATTTCATGCGGGCCAGATTGAGGATTGCGCACTTCCCGCGTGACTGCTAACTCCTACGCCTCCCATCCCACGGGCACCTACTCGATGATCGCTCACCGCGTTCCCAGCCGCTGCTCCCAAGTGCTTCAGGGCCTCCCAAGCAACGATCCCTCGTTAAAAACAATGGATATGCGCCCCGAGCTTCCAAGGCGGCCCGCGGAGGCAACCAAGGGCACCAAGATGGCCCAAGATGCCTCGAGGACGGCCCAAGATGGCCAAGGCGGCCGAGTATTGATTCAAGGTGGCCCAATATGCCTCCAAAAGGGCCAACAATGGCCACAAGAGGACCTCCAACAGGGCCCGAAGAAGCCACAATCATTGATGTCCTGTGCGTGTTTGAATGAGTGTCGCATTCTCGCGTTTCGGGCTGCCGTCAGCTCAAGACGACCCAAGAAGGCTCCACGATGGCCCAAGAGGCATCAAAGACGGCCCCAAGACGGCCCCAAGGCGGCCCAAGAGGAGCTCCCGTGGGACCCAAGACGACCCCACGACGGCCCCCAGGCACCCACCATACGGCCAAGAGGGCCCCAAGACGGGCCACGGGAGCCCAAGCTGGCGTAAGAGGGCACAAAGACGGCCCAAGAGGGCCCCGAGGAGCCCTTAAGACTGCCGCACAGGAGACCAAGACAGTTCCAAGACGGACCACTCGGGTTTCTTCATCATCATCATCATCATCATCATCATCATCATCATCATCATCATCATCATCAGCATCAGCATCAGCATCAGCATCAGCATCATCATCATCCTCATCATCAGCATCATCAGCAGCAGCATCATCATCAATTAATCAGCATCAGCATCATCATAATCAGCATCATCATCATAATCATAATCCTGCTCACCATCAGCATCAGCATCGTCGTCATCAGCAGCAGCACCAGCATGAGCATCATCACAAACATCATCAGCATCATCATCAGCATCCCCATCATCATCATCATCATCATCAGCAGCAGCATCAGAATCATCATCATCGCCATTATCATCATCAGCGTCATCCTCGTGACTATGACCATCATCATCAACATAATCATCTTCATCACAATCAACATCATCACCATCGTCTACAACATCATCATCACCACCATCCTCACCACCACCGCCACCACCGCAACCACCATAAGCATCATCACCACCTCCAGCATAAGCATCACTATCATCACCATCATCGCCACCATCATCTGTACCACCGCCACCATCATGATCAGTACCACCATCATCTTCATCATCAGCATCACAGCTATGCCATCCATCATCATCAGCATCATCATCATAAACAGAATCATCATGATCATAATCATGGCCATCGTCATCGTCATCGTCATCGTCACCACCACCACCATCATCATCATCACCATCATCGTCATCGTCATCAGCATCATTATCCATATCATCGCCCTTATCCTCATCACCATCACTATCATCAGCAGCATCATCATAATCAATGTCATCGTCATTGTCATCGTCATCGCCGGCGTTACCATCAGCAGCAGCAGCCGGGGAATCGTCATCAACATCATCAGCACCATCATCACCATCACAATCACCACCACCATCATTGTCATCATTATCAGCTTCATCATTGTCATCATCACTCTCATCGTCGTCATCATCGTGAACTATCACCGTATCATCCTCGTAATCCCCGTCATCATCATCACGGCTCGCCCACGACACAAAGCGTCACACGTGACGGCCTCCCGTGCCCCCTCGAACAGTCGCCACCCAGAAGGGTGGGCTGGCACGGTGGCGGGACTTGCCGCAGGCAGCTGCATATCTTATTGTGGCCTGGGAGGCTTGGGCGTCCCGACCAAAATCCACTCTAAATCTGTCACTAGACCCTTCCTGAAGTCCATCCTCGCACACGTCCCCTCCTGGATCGGGTGTGGGACGGCTCCAAGGAGCGGGGCCCCACGAGGCCAAAACCTTTCTCGAACCTCGACCCTCCGACATGCGAGGTCTTGGCTTTGAACAGACGGGGCCTCTGGAAGCCCCGACGCTGTCCGCAGGGCCGGCGCTCCACCCCGAGTCGTTCACCTAACGCTCCTGCAGAAGCCGAGAGCTCGGTCCACAAAAACCCCCCGCCGTGACTGTCGCCACGACGCGGCCACGTCCGGGCCCTGCTTGTTGGAGGTCTGGGCCCGCTCGCCCATTGCCGACAAGCCACACATGGGGGAGCTGTGGACCTTACCCCCCTGGGGGAACCCGTCGCATCTACGATCTCTCGAGAGGGGTGTCGAACTCGATGGGTCCCCCCAGGGGGGTAAGGACCACAGCTCCCCCAGTTGTGGTTGGCCTGCATTGCCCCCCCCCCCCCTGGCTTCGCGGCGCGCCTCCCGAGCCAGCTCCCCGCTGATGCGCGCCCCGTCTCCGCCGCCGGACGCCAGCCTCCAGAAGCGCTGGAAGGCCGCCCGCATCTTCTCGATGCGCTTCTCGCAGAGGTCGGCGTCCAGCGCCTTCCCGAGGCTCGGGCTTCGAATTCTGCGTCTCGGCATGTGTGGCATCTCTCCCTGCCCATTGCCTTTGCTCCCTGCCCTGGCTGTGGGTGCCTTCAGGCTTGTTTCGAGATCCGCTGGGACCCTGCAATAAAAATAATCGTCATTCTCAGCCTCATCCTTGTTCGTCCACTGACCACGATGGGCCCATGCGCCGACCAGTGGACCGCAGAGCCACCACAAGTGTAATGTAGTGGATCGTTCTACCAATTGCCAATGCACCCTCGACGTGCACGTCTTCTGTCTTTCTCTCGCTCTCTCTCTCTCTCTCTCTCTCTCTCTTGCTTCTCTCCGTCGGTCCCCCCACCGGACAGGACGAGGCTGATGGACTTGAAGAAGAGCTCCCGCCCCGCCTCGCACACCCTGCAAGCCGCGGCCGCCATGCCCAGAGTGCGCCAGCGCCCCCCTGGCGACCGCATACCGCGGCCGGCATGCCCAAAGTGCGCCGGCGCTCCCTGGCGACCGCACACCGCGGCCACCGGGCCCGAGGTGTGCCCGTGCTTCCTGCCGCCTCGCGCTCTCGGCGCGAGGCTCGCGCGGAGCACAAGGCTTCACTCTCTCTGAGGGCCTCATGGAGGCTCCTCCTTCTAGCCTCGACCTCCTCCTCCTAGCTCCTCCTCAGAGGTGACGTTCGCTCCTAGCTCCTCCTCCTAGCTCCTCCTCCTAGCTCCTCGCCTCCTCCCCTCGAGCGGCGCCCCGAGGAGCTTAACGCCACGGCTGGGTCCGTCTCGACCTTCTAGCCAGAACGCGCCCCCAGGATGGATTCGTCGGAAGGGGGGGCGTGGCTTCTTAGAGAGCGCCAGACATCCTGCGGCTCGCAAGATCGGGCTGGCTGGTTCTTCTCCCAAACGCCCCTACCCCGGAGAAGGGGTCGAGAGATCGGGGGGCAGTGCTTCGAAAAAGCAAACGCGCCGAATGTCTACGTTCCTCCGCCTCATCCCCCTTGCCCAGACACGTGAGCGTTTTCTTATCCGGCGTTTTGGCATTGGGCGGAAAGGGGGGAGATGGGGGGGGTCTGGCTCCAGACCTCTGCTTGATGCTACTTGGTTGCAGCAGTGCGTCCCATAGGGAAGACTCCACCTGTTCGAAACAGGGGCCAAAAACAGCAAAGATCTACTCCATTGGGGGGGAGGGGAAATGCGAGCGCCCGCGCCAATCGGTAGAACAATGAATCAGAAAACCACTACCATCCGGCGGCTTGACTTTTTCGAGACATGCCCCCCCACCCCGACCTCTCGACGTCCCCGGGGCTAGCTATTCATTCTGACGCGTTATTGTTAGCGGTCCCTGGGCTTGGAACTGACCTCTGGATGGCGAGTACTTCAGAACAGAGTGAGCTTGCTTTTTTCAAGACGTCGTCGGATATCAGGGTTCCCCTCCCCCGTCCCTCCCAGAGCTCAAGAAGAGCGACCAACGACAATTAGATGGGCTCCAGGCGCGTTGTCTTCGACATATGTTGAACATCCACCATTCTTGCATTTCAAGGATATCCAACAAAAGTGTGCTACAACAGGTGGGGGCTACACCTTACAGTATCCAATTTCTCCAGCATCAGCTTACGTGGTTCGGAAAGCTTGGCCGCAAGAGCGACACTGACGCACTGCGCCCCCAAAAATCCACCCAGGCAGCATGAGACCGATCACCGATTCTCTCGCGCGGAGGCCTGAACGTCCCAGGCACGAGTGGGCGAAGTATTTATGTAATAAGATTCGAACTTATTTTGAATCGGGTTCTCGGTCCCAATACTTGGTCGACAAGCAACAATGTTGCCGCTTCTTTGCGGGATTCGTTGACGTAGACGAGGGATTATGCAGCCGCGTGACGACGTTACGCCGTGACGCCCAGCTACTCGTGCATTTTCTGCTTCGCAGTCGTGATGAACCCTGCTTTTCACCGCCCACGCGCCAATGGGCGCATGGCTTCTTTACTTGACTTGAGGCCCCGCCCAGGGCTCTAACGTAGTGCTCTGGGGCTTTCGGCGCAGGCTCCAATGGGCGCATGGCTCCAATGCGGGGTCTCTGGGGCTCTCTGCGCAGGCTTTTAGAGGCTCCTGGTCCTTTTCGCCCCCCCCCCTTTCCCGGGAGCCTCCAGCGTCTCGTCCCCCTTCCTGCCCGTCCTGCCCCACTCCGCCGGAGCCTGCCTTTTTCCCCTCCTGGCGCAGCGGGCGTCGCAGGGGGGGGGGGGCCAGTGACGCGACGCTCTGCGCTCTTGCGGAGGTGGTCCTTCGCTGCAGCCGTCGTGCTACCACACGCTGGCCATCGCTCGGACGTCCATCTCCTGTGTTTTTTTCGGTTTCGTACGTGGTTTTTTCGCCAAGTGATCAAGGATGCTCCTCGATGGTCCTCGCCGAGAAAAAAATGCACACGTCCGAGCGATGCCAAGCACGAGGGACGCCGCATGGGGACCGACGAGCTGTTGTCGCCATGGCCGCGCCGCCGCTCCCCGACCGAGAGCTCGAAGAGCAGCCCGCACACCGGAGCCCCTCATTGAGCCCAACGTGGTCCTTAGGCCAGCGTCCCGGCTGTCCCAGTCCCCCTCCAGCGCCGAACGTCACGTCAACAAGTACTGGACACCCGAATTATGCGGGGTAATTCGGGCCCGGGGTAACTCGGGTTCAGATTCCCGAAAAATGAACCCGAGTTAGCCCTGACCCGAGTTACCCCTGATGATTTGGGGCTCTGGACGCCCGAATTATCCGGGGTAACTCGGGCCAGGGTCAACTCGGGTTCGGATTTCCGAAAAAACGAACCCGAGTTAGCCCTGACCTGAGTTACCCCTGATGATTCGGGGCTCTGAAAGTAGGGGAACGAGGAATGACATAAACACAACGCCTCGGAGGTCGGCGCGGACTTCTCGGATTCGCGCTGGGCGCCCCTCGCGCGCTGCGCGCGCCAGGGAGGGGGGTCCAGCGCCGATCCGAGAAATCCGCGCGGGCCTCCGAATTGTTATGTTTATGCAATTGCTTGTTTCCCTGACAAGGGGGGGAAGATGGGGGCTGGGCTGGGCTGGGGGGCCGGGCTGGGGGCGGGCGCCACGCGAAGTCGCAAACATCGTTCCGGGCCCAGCGCCTTCAGCTCGTCGGGGAGGTCCTTGTGCTGGTCGCCGAGCCACTGCAGCTTCGGGATCCAGTCCAGGACGCAGCACACGTTCTTCAGGCGCCGAGGTCCCGACCAGTCCCTGTTGAAGTAGTTCCTCGAAAGCAGCAGATAGTCTGGAAACGCCAAGGGCTTGTGCTTCCACAGGCGGAAGTGCTGCGCCTGATAAAAGACTGATGACCGAGGGGCCTGCTTTAAGAACTCGTCAAATGTATCCAGATCTTTCATTCTGCCTGCCGGTGGCCGCATATGATCGTCAAATACCCAAGGGATGGGATCTTCGTGCTCACGCCGGTACGCCTGATTCAAGAACTGCTCGATTTCGAGTTCTTGTTGCTGCTCTTGCTCTTGCTCCTGCTCCTGTTCCTGTTCCTGCTCCTGCTCTTGCTCGCCGTCCAGATCCCCGTCGGCTTCGTCCTCCACCGGGGACTCCTTGTTCAAGACGTGCAGTATGGCCCGGAACGTCGAGCCCTTCATCAGCTTGAGCGCCTCTTCAGTGCTGGGGTGGTCCGCATGAGCCATCTGCAGCTTGAGCTTCACTGGCATGTCGAGTAAATCGTCTCGCCCATGCTTCGCCTTTCGGACCTTGGTGGGCTTGTTTTCCACCGCCACCACAATAAGTAGGAGGGGGAGGGGGTCCTTCTCCTCCTCTTCCTCCTCCTCCCATTTTTCTTCCTCATCCTCCACCTGCTTCCCCACTCCAATTTATGGTGGTGGTGGTGGTGGAGAACAGGCCCATCAGACCTTATCGAGCCTGGCGACGGTGGCAGGGTAGTCGTCGATGGTGAGCAGCCTCATGCCCTGGAGCTGCACGCCCTGCGCGACGAACTCTTCCTTGACGAAGCGCTCGGCCAGCTTCAGCTCACATACCGGCCTCAGGGCCTCCAGCTGCGCCACCGAGTCCGCGTACACGACAACACCGAGAAGCACTTGCCGTACCGCCTTTCTTCTGTCAATGATGGAGTCAGCAATTGACACGCGCTTCGGGACCTTGCTCTCCACATCGAGGTGCAAATGCTGATCGAAAACTTTCACTGGGCGCTGGATGACAGGATCGTCTACGGCGTGACCGTTTTCGAAACCGTGCTCGGCCTCGCTGAGCAAGAATTGAAAAGCGCGCCTCCGCCATAGGTTCTCTGCGTTCTGTATCTGGAGCATTTGGAACTGCATTTTCTCGCTGCGCATCGAGTTCACCACCAACCACGCTGCGATGTAGCCCAGCAGCCGTCTTGTGGCCTCCTCAGGCGAAGGCTTGGACGTGTCCCAATCCACCTCCATGCCCGCCTTTGAGAGCTGATCTGTGATGAGCTGCTGGACCTCCGGGATTACCCAGACGCTCAGACGCTGGCCCTTCCCGATCCCCCGCATCCTGTAAGCGCCCTGGGCAAAATCTCGGAAGGTCATGTCCTTACCCAGCGTGATGATGGCGCGTGCATCTGGCTTGTGCTTGATGTCCATGCCAGTGGTATGCACCTGGTCGTAGAAAGCGAACCGCTCCGACAACTGAATTCCACAATCTGCTTCTTTCACCGCCACGCGGGAGTTGCGAACCAACACCATTTTCCGATCTTCTTCGTCCAAAAATACGACGGCATTTTTCGGATGTCTTGTTGTATCACCTAGCAAGCCTTCCCTGTTCCCACCGAAGTGCCACTTCTCCAACAGATACCTCGCAACGTCACTGTTTGACTTACCAGTGATAAGCGCTCCAGTGTCGATGAGTGCATTCGCATCTGCACATGCCACATCAAAGAGCAAACTATCAACAGTCCAGTTGGAACAACTTGGATGTCCACAATTGTGCTGCACGAAATGTACGTCGCAGATGTTCGGATTTGTTAGCGTATGAAGAATCATGCCGTCATCCCCTTTCTGGAATGAGCATTTGCCCATCTCCAAAGGTAGCATCTCATTAGGCGTTCCAGAGAAGCCGATGCGACGACGGAATAGCAATTCCCCCCCTAAGTCTTGGCCGGATGCGCATATTTTCGTGATTTTAAACTCCATGTGCGTCGGGAAAATGAGCTCCAGAACGTACCACGTTATCAAAGACGCACACCTTTTCATCAATTCGTACAGCTGCTGGATTTGTCCCGTGTTGGACAACTCAGTGTACTGCAACTCCAAGACGCGGGTTGCATTTTCTTCGCGCTCGGTCTCAACCGTCACAGTTGCAACGACTCCGCCTGACTCCTCGACCCACTGCTGGAATCGCTTAGCTGATGGGCGCTCGCGTGGAGGGCCATGCTCGATCTTAACATACGAGATGAGCCGTTCCATGATTGATGTGAAATCTGAAATTCGTAATCCTTCGAAACGGTACGCTAAGATGGTGAGGCCCAACACCACGTCGGGATGTGCAAACTCAGAGGACGGTGAAGGAACGTCTTTTCCTACAAAGGGAATCGCCAAAAACTTCCGGGACTGTGACATGTTAGGCTGCAGCTGCATAGCCTTCTTGTAATCAGCCTCGCTCATCAAGCCAAACGTCACGCGGTCGATCTTCTTCAGGCAGTGGGGAAGATACACTGCCAACCAGTCCGAGGCAAGATTGAGAATCCGCATTTCAAAATTTGAGGTGCTCTGCATCACCTTCGCTTCGACCTCTTTTTTGTCGCACTCTGTCCCAGACGGTCTCATCCGTGATCTCGGATGTCGTGTGATGTAACGACAAAATCCGCACCGTGCCGCAAGCACTGAGAGGAGTGTACCCAAGTCCCTACGCACTCTTTGCACACACACTCCTTAACCCTTATCTGGCGCCGGGGCACTTAACCTGACGCCGAACCCACCGGCAACAAACCCTGCGTACTCGACCCTGATCTGACGCTGGGCTGGCGACCCCGCCAGCACTCGCCCAGCACGCGCGGAAGGTGGCTGTGAATTCTAGGCGTAGCCCCGTATACGGTCAGGAGCTTTTGCTTGGCCTGTCGCGGCGGCGACCCTGGCGACATGCTATGCCCTGAGAACTGATAGCGTGTCGCTCCGCTCCGCGGGACGGGGGGGACGAAACAACTCGGAACATTGACGCTCGGGGACCGAGACGAGGTTAGCGTATCGCACCGAGGCGTCGTGATCCAGAACGGGCGGAGCAACACGCTAGCCTGGAGTCCTGTTTGCGTACGCCTCCTCGACGTCGACGGATGCGGCGTTGGTTGCTTCACAGGTTGTCAGGTTGCGCGATTAGTTGCGCCTTGGGCCGCACCATGGGTGCACCATCAGTGAGCCAGATGTGCAAACGTTGCTCCATACGCTGCGCCAATGATTACACCATGGGTTTTGTCAGATGTTGCGGCATAAGTGGCACCACAACTTGCACCACAAGTTGCGCCATGGGTGCGCCATGGGTTGCACCACAGGTTGTGCCACCAGTTGCGCCATTGATTGGGATTCCACCATAAGTGTATCCAAAAGTTACACCATTATTGTCGCATTTGATTTTATGTCTGCAATTGAACAAGCACTGGAGCTGCACTCACTGCTATTGCTGCGGCGGAGACGCGACTGTCTGGAGCTCATGGGCAGAGTTGCCAACGTCCAATTTGGCTAGACCTGAAACCAGAAACCCAGGCCGAAGCGGAAATGAGGACGGCGCTGAGGCTGCAACTGAATTCCGAGCCGCGGATGCAGCAGGCGCTGATGCCTGAGCACCATTCGCAGCTGGCGATGTGGTTAGCGCCAAGGCCAGAGCGCCGCTCTAAGGTCGGGCACTGGCCAGGGCAGCGGTTCGAGCAGCACTCCGACGTAGGAATGTGGACGCCGCTGCGGCATGTGGCCGCCAGCGTAGCGGCTCGAGCAGCATTCCAATGTAATCAGGGTGAACACGTGGCTTGCGCTGCGGTCGGACCTCTCTTCTTCTTCGTCTTCTTATTAGTCTTCTTCTTATGAGTATGATTAATACTGTTATTGTTAGTAAGATTAATAGTTTTGCTTATTCGCCTTATTATTATTGTCTGATCTTCTTCTTATTATGTTTCTGATCATTATGTCAGTGTTATTATTTGTATTAGTATTAGTTGTCTCGTTGTTCCTTGTAGTAGTATTACAAATAATACTATTAGGTTTCTACTTCATTGCTTGTCTTCGCATTAGGTTGCTTCTTCTTCTTCTGCGGAAATGTGGCCAGCGGTGAAGCGGGAGCACCATTTCAAAGTTCTAGAGGCACCCAACACACAGCAGCTGCACGTAACCGCTGCTCCTGCGACGAGGGTGCGAGACAGGAGCCCGCCATCAGCGGTGCTGGCGTCAGGTCAGGTCCCCAGCTTCACGCTTGGGGCGTGGGGTGTGTTGAATACGTATTGCAAGTGCTCTTGAGGGGGCCCAGAGCCCCAACTCACTGGCGCTCCTGGGGATGCCGCGTAACGTGTCAAACGCATGTAGAAAAACATGGTTGTCAAACCTTTTCAGCCTGGGCAGGAGGAACACGAATTTACCCTGGGAATAAGATTGTGCCAGGGTCGCCCCCGAGACCGCCAAGGGGTCTTCAAGAGGCCCCCAAGAGGCCCCCAAGAGGCCTCCACGAGGACCCAAGAGGCCCCCAAGAGAGCTCCAAGAGGAGGAGGTATCGAAGAGGCCCCCAAGAGGCGTGCCGAAAGCCGCCCCCGCGAGGCATCCAAGAGGACTTTGGCCCACAACCCAGAAAAAGAGGCGGGATGGGACGAATGCCACTAGATCCGCCGCCGCCTGTCGTCGTGCCACAGGGGTGCACCGCGTGCTAAATTGATGTTTGTTCGCAACCATCCTCTGGTGCTGGGTTCTCGTTTTGTAGAGACAGCTTCCCGCGTCCCTCGCTCCTTCCTCCCTTCGCCCACCCTTGCCTCTGCCCTCCACATGTCCATTTCGGCACACCCCTTGCACGCTTCGTAACCCCATAGGGATGGAGCTCCACCTGAGGCCCCAGCGGCAGGGTCCGCATGGCGACCCCGCAGCCGATCCGGCAAACCTCTCACACGCCTCGTGTCTCCAAAGGGAGGGAGCAACACCGAAGGCCCCAACGGCAAGGTCCGCGTGGCAGCCCAGTCCCCGATCCGGCACACCCCGCACAAGTCCCGTGGCCCTAGAGGGAGCTCCACCGAAGGCCCCAGAGGCAGGCTCCGCATGGCGGCCGCGCACCCGACTCGGCACACCATTCACTCGCTTCGTGGCCCCATATGGAGCTCCACCAAAGGCCCCAGCGGCAAGGTCCGCATGTTCGCCCCGAACCAGATTCGGCACACACACCCCACACACACTTCGTGGCCCAAGAGGAAGCTCCACCGAAGGCCCCAGCGGCAGGGTCCGCATGGCGGCCCCGCACCCGACTCGGCGCACGTCATTACACGGTTCGTGGCCCATAGGGCGCTCCACCGAAGGCCCCAGCGGCAGGGTCCGCACGGCGGCCCCGCACCAGATTCGGCACACACCCCACACACTTCGCGGCCCAAGAGGAAGCTCCACCGACGCCCCAGCGGCAGGGTCCGCATGGCGGCCCCGCACCCGACTCGGCGCACGTCATTACACGTTTCGTGGCCCAATAAGGAGCTCCACCGAAGGCCCCAGCGGCAGGGTCCGCCTGGCGGCCCCGCACCCGACTCGGCGCCCGCCGTCGCACGCTTCGTGGCCCCATGGGCAGCTCCACCGAAGGCCCCCGCGGCAGGCTCCGCACGGCGGCCGCGCAGCTTCGTGGCCCCACAGGGAAGGCCCCAAACGGCAGGGTCCGCACGGCGGCCCCGCACTCGGTGCGGCACGCCCCTCCACCGCTTCGTGGCCCCAGGGGAGCTCAATCAACGGCCCCGCGGCAGGCTTCGCATGGCGGCCCCGCTCCTCCTCCTCCTCCTCCTCCTCCTCCTCCTCCTCCTCCAACTCCTCCCCCTCCTCCTCCTCCTCGTAGCCCAAAAAGGAGCTCCACCGAAGGCCCCAGCGGCAGGGCCCGCACGGCGGCCCCGCCGCCGATCCGGCACACCCCTCACACGCTCCGTGGCCCAATAGGGAGCTCCGCTGAAGGTTTCAGCGGCGAGGTCCGAAGGGCGGCCCCGCACCCGATGCGGCGCACCTCTCAAACGCTTCGTGGCCCCATAGGGAGCTCCACCCAAAACAATAGTCACAGCCGCGGTACTCACAACTGCAGATGGTGGGTCCTTCGCCAGGGTAATGTGTAATTTTTCTCTTTTGTAAACTCCCCGCGGGGTCGCGGCTGATCGAGCCGGCCACCCTCAGAGGCGCGCAACTTCCATAAAACATGTCCCCAAGATGGCAAAGATGGCCTCCAAGACGGTCCCAATAGGCCTCCAAGACGGCCATGATGGCCACAAGAGAGCCCAACCCAAGAGAGCCCAAGACGGTCCAAGATGCACCCAAGACGGCCCAAGATGGCCTCAAGATGTTCTTAGACGGTCCAAGAACCCCCAAGGGGCCTCCAAAACGGCCCATGAGGCTTCCAAGAGGTCCTCCAAGAAAGCCCGAAGAGGCCAAAATCATTCAGGCTCCAAAAATATGTAGGTCTTTGCTTCGTTTCGGCCTTCCGACGGCCCCAAGGTTGCCCCCAGAGCGCCCAAGAGGCCTCTCAAATGGCCTCATGACGGCCCGAGAAAAATTCAAGCCGGCCTCAAGAGGGTCCCAGGACGGCCCACGAGGCCTCCAAGACGCCGAAGATGGCCTCCAAGAGGGCCCCAAAGCGTCCAAAGAAGGCCCCAAGAGTTTGATTGCGGAGGTCAGAGATCTGCGGACTCTTGGCGCAGCAGCCCTCCCTCTCTCGCAGCCACCTGGGCGCACGAGGGCGGGCGGGCGGGTTTACGAGGACGCAGCCTGCGAGACAGGCTGCTCACGCTGGAGCGGGCAGCGTGGACACGTTCAGGAGAGCAAAGGAGGTGTTCTCACATCGTTCTTCTTATTCAGTTGGCTTCGTCAACTCCAACGTCTACGAGTAGACCGTGATCGGGCTCCCCTGCGCCCCGTTGCATTCAGAAAGAAGGCCCCAGAAACGGCTTCCGACGGCGTCAGACGGGCCAGGAACGCCCGAAGACAACCGAAGAGGCCCTCAAGAAGCCCCCAAAGGCCCCCAAGAGGCCAAATGAGGCCCCTCAGAGGCTTCCCAGAGGACCCCGGGAAGCTCCCAGGAGGCCCCGAGAGTGCCCCCAGGGAACCCCAATGCATGCGGGGCACGCTCTTGCCTGCCGCTGCTGTGCATCCCTCTCGACATGGAGTGCCACCAGGGAGCCCCGCTCGTTCCTCCCTCCCTCTCTCCCTCCTCCTCCTCCTCCTCCTCCTCCTCCTCCTCCTCCTCCTCCTCCTCCTCCTCCTCCTCCTCCTCCTCCTCCTCCTCCTCCTCCTCCTCCTCCTCCTCCTCCTCCTCCTCCTCCTCCTCCTCCTCCTGAGTCCCCGCCGTCAGCCTCTGGGTCGCGGCGCGCAGGAAGCCCGGCACCCTGCGACACGCAGCGCCACGCAAAGCAGCCCGTCGCGGACGCCTGGCCTCTTGGCGATTCGCTCGACCGCCCCTTCGATAGGGGAACAAAAAGTGGCATTAACATAAAAACTCGGAGGTCCGCGCGGATTTCTCGGATCGGCGCTGGACCCCCCTCCCTGGCGCGCGGAACGCGCCAGGGGCGGCGCCGGAGGCGCCGCCAGGGGGCCTCAGTGCTGAACTGCTTAACAATGTAAACAAATCTTCACGGCTCCCGATGGCCTTCGGCCAATGCTGCGGGCCACACGGGCGAGGTGGGAGGCAACGATCTCCCCGACTGGGATCGTCCAAGGATGCCGAGAATGCCCTCCATGATGGCCCCAAGACGACTCAAAGACAGGCACGATGACCCCAGGAGACCGCAAGTGGCCTCCCAGCCCAACATGACCCAAAGACGGCCCAAGATGTCCTCCAGACGGCCCAAGAGGCCCCCAAGACGCCCCCAGAGGGCTCCAAGTAAGCCCCAAAATCATTGATGTCCCTCTCCAGTGTGTCCATGATTTTCGAGTTCTCGCCATTCCGGGGATCGGACAACCAAAGACGGTCCCAGAGGCCTCCAGGATCGCCATAAGACAGCTCAAGCGGCCCTCAAAAAAGGGGCCCCTGACAGCCCACGAGGGCCACAAGACAGCCCAGGAGGCCCTCCAAGACGGCCCCAAAGACCTTCAAGACAGCCTTGAAGCAATTAAAGAGGGAACCACGACGGCCCAGAGGGGCCCCCAAGACGGCCTCCGAAGGCCAACACGCCCCCAAGAGGCCCCCAATATGCCCACAAGAGGACTCCAGGAGGCCCCCAAGAGACCCCAAAAGGCACTCAGAAGCCTCCATGACCCAAGAGGCCCCCAGGAGGCCCCAACAGGTCTACCTCTCCTCCTCCTCCTCCTCCTCCTCCTCCTCCTCCTCCTCCTCCTCCTCCTCCTCCGCCTCCTCCTCCGCCTCCTCCGCCTCCTCCTCCTCCTCCTCCTCCTCCTCCTCCTCCTCCTCCTCCTCCTCCTCCTCCTCGTTCTCCGCCCTCTCCTCCCTCTCATACCGCTCCCCCTTCCTCCCACATGTGCTCCCCCAAGGGTTTCCACAAAGGCTGGAAGAACACGTAGCCCAATAGCTTGGCAAGATTTCGGGCCAAGGTTTGGCAACATCGGCGTTCCAAAGTCAGGGGGGCAGCGGTGGTTCGCCGCAAGCGTCTTCTATCTGCCTCCCCCCCGTGTTTACCACAAGGGTGTTTTTGCGTGCTGGACTGTTCCTCTGTTTGAAGCTTCCCGAAAATGCCCAATGGCCTCCAACACAACTTGCCAGCCACGCAAAGCAGCTCCGCCCGCCTCCGAGACGCCCAAGATGGGCTTGAAGATGGCCTCCAAGACGGCCAGGATGGCCCACAATGGCATCCAAGACGGTCCCAATACGCCCCCAAGACAGCCAAAATGGTCCCAAGATGCCCTCAAGACGGCCCAAAAGGCCCCCAAGACGGTGTGAGAGGGCTCAAAGAGGAGCTCCAGAACGCCCAAATCATTCGTTGCCCGTGAATGCTTCACTGATTTTCGTGTTCTCGCCTGTTTCGGGCTTCCGACGGCCCACGAGGCCCGCATGATCGCACCGATACGGTCTAAGTGGGCCCGAGGACGGACCAAGACGCCCCCGAGACGGTCCAATAACGGCCCCACAGACCGTCAATACGGCCTCAAAACGCCCAAATAGGTACCCACGACTGCAAAGAGAGGCCTCAAGACGGCCTCCAAAGGTCAAGAGGTCCGTTAAATGCCCCCTGAGACCCTGAGAGTCTCTCAAGGGGCCCCAGGAGGCTCCCAAGAAGCCACGTAGAGGTCTCCACGAGGCTTCCAGGAAGCCCCCTGGAAGCCCCAAGGCAGCCTGAAGAGGCCATCTTCTCCACCTCCTCATCCATCTCCTCCTCCTCCCTCCTCCCTCCTCCTCCCTCCTCATCCTCCCTCCTCCTCCTCCTCCTCCTCCTCATCCTCCTCCTCCTCCTCCTCCTCCTCCCTCCTCCTCCCCTCCTCCTCCGCCTCCTCCTCCTCCTCCTCCTCCTCCTCCTCCTCCGCCTCCTCCCCCTGCGCCTCCTCCTTCTTCTCCTCGTCCTCCTCCTCCTCTTCCTCATCCTCCTCCTCCTCCTCCTCCTCCTCCTCCTCCTCCTCCGCCTCCTCCTCCTCCGCCTTTCTCTCCCAGGCGTCTTCCCAAAAGGTTCCACAGCGGGCTGGGGGCACACGTAGTCCAGTAGCTTGGCCAAACCTTTGCCCAACGTTTGGCCGCAGGAGGCGTTCCAAAAGAGAGGGGGCGGCGGTGGTGCGCCGCAGGCGTCTTCGATAGCTTTCCATTGTTCATGGACGGCTGCACCTGCGTGATGAAGTGCCACGCCCATCTCTCAAGGATGTCGAGCAGCCTTTCGTAGTAGAACTCCTCCTTCAACAACACGACGTGGGGTACCTGCATGAGGGACTTACTGGCCAACCCCTCTTCCAGTTTGGTGTTCAATTCCTCAAACACGCCCTTGGCAACCTCATCTTCCCAAAGATCCTTCGGGAAGTGTGCAGGTCTGATTTTGCTTCCATCTGGTAAGACTTCTGCTTTACGCATCAGGTCGGCGAAATAGAATGCATCGAACATGTGAATGGGGAATCTGAACCGTATGCTCTCAGGTGACTCTGAAAAGTCCAAGCGCAGTTTCTTCCCCGTTGGATAATTCAACTCGCTCTTAAGTGGATGGAGGACCATGTCAACTTCGTCCATCATAACAACACCCTCCCGCAAGATTCGCAACATCTTCGCCCACACCGTCACCTGAACTTCGAGATGCTTCGCCGACTCTTTGTTCTTGCTGCCCCCTGTCTCTTTGTAGGAGGGAATCAATGACAGATCTTCGACGAACTTGAGAATCAATGACTTCACGGACGCCGGGGTGCTCACAAGAATGGAGCCGCTGCGCCTCGCATCGGATATTCGCTTGAGCAAGGAGAAATCCGCCTCAGAGCTTCGTTCGCAGGAGAAGGTCATGACTCGCTTGTACACGATAGACGAGAAGAACTTCCGCAAAGTACCACGCGAAAATTCGAGCAAATTCGGCGGCATCACTTGAGTTACCAGTTTCTTCCCATCTGCGAGCATGAGGCACAACATTGGGCTAACGACAGTCGTCTTACCCGCACCCATGATCAATTGCTTCACTAGCGCCGGAGCCTTGCGATAGAATCCCTCTCGAAGGGGGCCCTGATCTGCATCAAGCTTCTCGTAGCCCTCGTCGTCTTCCGGTGTCTTGTCGAGCATGTACTCGCCGTGTTCTGGGACCACATCCCTGTTCATCTTCTCCATGAACTCGTCGATGAGCTTGTACTGACCCTCGCGCAAGACCATGTCCCACGAGAACTCAAAGCACAGATACCGTGGATCGAACGTCATGCCTTTCACATATGGACGCTGGGTGGTGATAAGGGATATCAAGGTCTCACCTGTCTGCAGCAGGACAATTTGACTTGCCTTCGATTCAATAAGTTCACTACTTGACAGCAACTTCAACATCGAGGCGCACTGGGCGATGGCGCGGTGCGTATGTCCTTGCCGGTTCACGTACAGCATATATACCGAGGCAACTCGCATCAAAATCGCCACGTCGGCATCCTGCAGGAGGGGGTTCACCCGCTGCCAATCATCGACACCCTCCTTCGACAGCAGCGTGCCAATCAGATCCGCGACCGTGCCGCAGGCACTGGAAAGAGTTCAACGAGTGCCTTCGAATTCCTGGCATGAGTATTCGGATAATTGTTTTACCTGGCCCAGGCCCACGTCTGCCGGGCGCTTGTGGGCGCTCTCAGACGCCAGACGCTCACGCCTTCCCATTGGCATTGGAGCGTGGCCGCGGGTCTCAACCTCCATTTCTGTACTGCTTTCGCATGCTCACCAACTCGATCTAGAGAGCGTCCAAGATTGCCCAAGCGGCCCGCAAGATCGCTCCAAGACAGGCCGGTCAGGACCCAAGACGGCCACCCTATGTAACCTCCACGACCGTCTCCAGGCTCCCAAGAGGCCACCCAGAGGACCCCAGAAAGGCCCCAAGAGGCCCCCAGGAAGTCTCCAGAGGCCTCTGAGAGGGCCCCCGAGACACCCCAAAGAAGCCTCCTAGAGGCCCCCAGAGGCCTCGCAGAGACTTCTCGTCAACAACCCAAGCACGGTAGTGGGATGTGCCGAAGGCCACTCGATACTCGAACCACATCCCCGCCTCCTGCCCAGAGACTCGCAACAGCTCGCAAATAATTGCGCCCATGTCCTGGGGCTTCGTAGCCGTAGAGCTGCTGAGCAGAAGTTCCTTCAGCCGCCGCATATACACGCCGTCCCCGTGCTCTAGATTCAGCAGCCCTCGGTGCAAAACGTTCACGTCCTCGCGTGCCTTGTGGATCATCTCCGCTGTGACCGCATCCCCTGCGTCCATGATCCGCCACCGTGCCTGCACGGAACTGGCGTGTTACAATGACTGGTTACTGCTGGTGAGGATTCTTTGGAATTGTAGAGATCCTCGCCCCACTCCGTTGCGCGCGTGCCTTGAGAACGGTTGCCTCCTAACGTTGCTTCCCTGCGTCCTGTCCGGCCTCCTGACGGCTCCAAGACAGCACAAAAGCGCAACAAACCAGCTGCAAGACGCCCCACTACCATCCAAAGACGGCCGGCCCAAGGAGCGCCCGAAAAGCTCCAAAATCTTCTTCAGTCGCCTCCAAGGGACGCCAAAGACCTCTTGCGAGGCATTACGAAGCAAACAACCCTGAAGCACCAAAAGGAATATAAGGAATATAACTGTACGCATTTTGCTCCCGAAGCTTTTCTGCTCTGCGTCGCCTCGGGAAAATATCCGATAGCCCCAAGAAGCACCCAAGACGGCCCCACGAGCGCCCCAAGACTTTCCAAAACTCCCCCAAGATGGCGCAAGAGGGCTCCTCGAAGGCCCCGAGACCTGCCGAGACGTTCCCGACACGGTTCAACGAATCCTTTTCGGAGGAGCTCAACGAACCATCGCGGTCATGATGGCCCTCAGACCCCCAGTCGGTCCACAAGGGGTCCTCCACAGCCCCCGAAGAGGCCCCAAATAAACTTCCCCGAACTTTCAATTACAGTCGAGGCCAGTCCACGAGAAACCTCCCACAAGAAACCCAACCCTGAGACCCCAGGAAGTCCATGGATTTTTGGTGTGGGACATTCATGCTTTCCGCGGCAAAACCCTCGAAACCCAAGAAACCCAAGGCACCCTGGAGGCAAGCAGGGTGTTTCTTGGCATGGGCCCCCACTGTATGCTTTCAGAAGGAGGGGGGAAGGAGGGGTGGCGGAAAGGTGCAAAAAATGAGGAGGAGTGCACGGCTGCGGTCGAGGAGGGGGATTCCAGGACCCCAGTCCAAGCAGAGCACCGAACTCGAGCGGGCCTCACGCTCGACCTCCTTCCTGCTGCTCGGCTGCGCTGCTGTGCTGCTGCGCTGGCATGGCGGCGCGGCTTGCCGCAGGCAGCTGGATAGCCTGCAGCGACCGGAGCTGCCGGATCGCGCCCCTCGCGGAGGCGCTCTGGACGAGCCCGCGGAAGTCGAGGACGTCCTGCTGCAGCCGCCGTATGGCTCCCTTGGCGAGGTCGGACTTCTCAACGTCCGGGTGCTGCGTCACCCTCGCCGGACCAGCCACCCAAAAAAAAAGGAGCTGTGCTCCTTACCTCGAGGAAGAGAATGCTGCATAAAAACAAAAACTTTGGAGCTGCGATCAGATGTCTTGGATCGGCGCGGGGTTCCCCTGGCGACGCCTCTGGCGCCACCCCCTGGCACGCTCCGCGCGCAAGGGAGGAGGACCCAGTGCCGATCTCAGGAGTCCGTGCGGAGCTCTGACATTTGATGCTTCTGCAACGCTCTTCTTCGACTGTCCTCCCCGAGGAGAGCCCATCGTAGCGACGAAGCCGATGGGCCCTCTCCGGGACGGCAGGGACCACCGCTCCCCTATAGGCGTGGCCGGTCTGCCTCGTGTCGAACGGGAGCTCCTCGGACGGCAGCTCGCTCTGCTTGAGCACGTGGGGGGCGAGGTGCCCGTCGTCGAACGCTTTCAGGGGGTGCCTCTGGAGGATCAGACCAAGGACAGAAACAGGATCAACAAAAATGACCCACCAACAAACAAAAACATCAAGGACTCAAAAAGAAGATCAAAGAAGATTACACAAGGGTCAAAACAGAGGATCCAACAAGAGATCAAAAAGGCTTGTGCGAAACCTCTTGGCTCGGCGCTGAGCCCCACTGGCGGCGCCTCCAGGCGCTGCCCCTGGCGCGCTCGGCGCGCTGGGGAGAGGGGGACCCAGCGCCGACACGAGAAATCCGAGCGGAGCTCCGACGGGGCTTGTGCACGTCTTTTTCTTTCGTCGGAGCCTAAGAAGCAAGGGGATCTCTGCTTGCATCTTCTCCGCGACCTCTGGGACGAGACTCGACATGCCCTTGCAGGCTGCGTCCTCGGAGTCCAGGCTCCACGCATCGTTCTGATAGTTTGCGACCTGCACCCTCCTCCCGGCACCGGTGCCTCCTTCCCGCCTGTCGAACAGGCCACGGGACACGAAGCCATCCACTGCAGCACGCTGGCCTTTCGGGTAGCGGAAGGGCAGCGTCACGTTCTCCACCGGGGGCTCCAGCTCGCACGTCTGCCGGAGCTGCTCCACGCAGTCCATGCACACGTCGTCGCCGCATGCCTTGCAGTGCCAGAAGAAGGGGAAGAGGCTTGGGCACTGGAGAGGCTTCTCGTAGCAGCGCATGCACTGAATCTCCTTGTGGATGCTGTACCATGGTGGGCATCCCGATATAGGCATCATCCAGTGGCCCTGCTCACACTTCGGTACGTGGTGGTTCTTTCTCGCAACAAGCACTGGTGGCGGAATGTCGTCGTCGAGCTGAGTAATGTCGTCTTGGCATCGCCAATGCCCGACACATGTGGAGCACAAGTGGTAGTTGGAAATCCGGCACGAGAACCACTCGATGTCGGCACCCTCGCGGTCAGAAACACACGCGCTGCAGGGGTGACCGCACCTCTTGCTGACCTGTGTGGAGCTACCCATGGCCTTGTACAGCGCGTGCCCGTGGCAGGTGACCCTCACCGTGATTCCCGCCCGCCGGATCAGAATCCGGGCAGGGACGGTGCTCGCGTAATGCGGGCGCCCGTCGTCCTCGCTGACCAGCCATAACTGGGGGAGCTGTGGTCCTTACCTCCCTGGGGGAACCCATCGCATCGACGATCCCTCGAGAGGGGTGTCGAAATCGATGGGTCCCCCAGGTTAACGGGCGAAGAACGGTATAACATAAACTTTTATACCGTTCGTCGCTCGCTGACCAGGGGGGTAAGGACCACAGCTCCCCCAGTTGTGTCTGGCCTGCCTCGACCTCGGTCGCGAGGACCTCCTGGCAGTAGAGCCCTCCTGGCGGCTGGCACGCCGCCGGACGGGGAGCACGGCCCCCGAGGGGCCTCCGCCGATCGCCCCCCTGGCCATCGCTCGGACATCCATCTCCCGTGTTTGTTTTTCGATTTCGCGCGTGTTTTTTTTTTTCGCCAGATGATCAAGGATGCTCCTCGATGGTCCTCGCCGAGAAAAAAATGCACAAGCCCGAGCGATGCCAAGCCCCCCCCCCCCCCGAATTTGGAGTGGAGGCAATGAATTCCTCCGCGACCTCTCGCGCGCGACGTGCGCCCCGTCCCAAACTCCCACTCCCGCCGCGCGGTCTGCAGCGCCGACGACAAAACGCCAAAAAGGCAGAGGAATTCGCACAAGTGTGTGGGTTTCCGCTCGCACCAGTCCGATCCCTCTCATGGCGCGCAGCTTGCGCTTAGATGCTCTGGCTCGGGACCAGGGCTCGTCACAATGAATTCCTCCTCCATTATTCCACGCGGATGCTCCAACACGTTCATATCAGTTCCTGACGCTCCCGTCTGTGAGCGCCTGAGCGAGAGAGAGAGAGAGAGAGAAAAAAAAAAAAAAAAAAAAAAAAAAAAAAAATGAGCCTGAGGCGGTTGCACTCTCCCAGGCGGAGGCCCCCGGAAGCTCCCAGACGCGCTGCCTGCTGCATCGGCATGGTCGCGGGACTCCGACGGGCGAAGCGTCGAGGGTGCCCCAAACCGGCGGTTCACGCGAGCGGCCTCACGATGTGGGCGCAGACTGGCAAGCGCAGCACCACGTCAGCCGAACAGAATGGAGCCGGGGGTGCCAACACCAGCGAACCGTTCGAGGCGTCCCCGCAGTCGAGGACCAGACGGGCAAGTCCAACACCCCTGGCGGCTCCTCCTTGGGACGCAGAAGTGCCGCGCCTCCTGCATCTCGGACATCACGGGGCGCGCAAAGAAGGAGCCGGAGCCGCCAAAATGAGCGCCTCGCCCGAGGCATCCCCACAATCTGGGCGCGAACGAGCCCATGCAACACTCCCCAGCGGCTCCTCCGTGGGGCGCCCAATTTCTAGTCCAGTCACATCGCGATGTGCACAGTGGGCATTCAAAAGAGAAGACTTGGGGGGGGTAAAACAAGTAGGCCGCATGAGTCATCCCTTCAAGCTGGGCGCGATGGGCAAATGTACCCCTGCCTGGGGGCTCCTCTTTGGCTTGCCCAAGTGCTATGCCTGCCACATGGCGATGATCATGGGGCTCTCACCAGGAAGGAATCGGGGGGGCAACGCACGCCAAGCGCCTGAGACATCCCCGCAGTCTGGGCGCCACGAACGGACTCGTGCTACACCCCTGGAGCCTCCCTGTTAGGGTGCTCGAGTGCCACGCGTGCATTATCGCTGTGATCATGGGGCGATCAAAACCGGAGGGGCCCGAGGCGCAGAAACAGGCGAACCGCCTGAGACATCTCCACAATCTGGGTGCGAAGAAGCAAGTGCCCCTCTTCCTGGCGGCTGCCCATCGGGGCGCCCAAGTGCCACGCCTGCTGTGTCGCGGTGGTCATGGGGCTCTCGCAAGAAGAGAAGTCCGGGGCACCGAACCATGCGCACCGCTTGAGTATCCTCAGCATCCGGGCGCGAATGGGCAAATGTTCCCCCTCCCTGGCGGGTCTCCCTTGGGGTGCCCAAGTGACAAGCCTGCTAAATGTCGGTGATCTTGAGTGAGCCTGAGATTGACAAGCTAGTATGAGTGAGCCTGGCTACGAGTGCCAGGATGTGGGTCGGTCTGAACGTGAGTCTGAGTACGCGTGAGTCTGAGTTTGCATGATCATCTTGTGTATTACGCGTGCGTGGCTGGAGGAGTCTGAATGGATCTGCGTGCGAGTGAGTCTGAGTGCCGGTGGACCCGAGTTTGAGAAGATCTGGATGAAAGTCCGTCTGAGAATCAGTGGATCTGAGTGGGCTCGAGTCGCAGTACGCATGAGTGGCGAGTGAATCAGACTGTGAGTGAGTCTGAATGTTAGTGAGGAGAGGGACGTGGCAGGAAGGAGGGAGGCGGAGGCGTCACAATAGTAACACAAACCCGAGTTTGAGACATGGGGAATCACAAAACAACCCGTCCTCGCATCTCGCGTCAGCTCGCGCAGATGTCGGCAACAAGGAAGCGGGACAAATAGTGCAATTCGAGACCTTCTCATCATCCGCTCGGGTCATGTTTTGCGAATGATCCTGGAAGCCGCTGGAACTCCACCCCTCCGGAGAGTCGAAAGTGCAGCTGTCGCTCGAGACTGTGCCCCGATTCACCCCGAATGCGGCTGCCGTGAGGCTCTCTCCGTACTCGCTCGCGGCACGTCCAGTCGGAGAGAGCCGTGGCAGGTGGCTCTGATGTCCGCTCGAACTCGGCCCGCCCCTTGGGGAGAGGGTGAGCGGCTGCCGCGCGAGACCCAGCCAAAGATCAGAAATGCTGGGGGCAAGGGCGGGGATGACGACGAGGGTGAGGAGTCCGAGGGCAAATATGCCGAGGAGAGGGAAAGGAAGCGAGAGAGGGAGAGAGAGAGAGAGAGAACAATGAAAATAGCCGAGCAGAGTGGGACCAGAAATATCAGCCCCATTCATCCTCACAGGAGGAAGCGGCCACGAGGAAGAGAATCCAACGAGTGCTGCTGCGACCCTCACTTCCGAAGGGTCTGAAGAGGCTGCGCAGAGAGCCGAGGCGGAAAAGCGGAGACGGCACTCCTGTAGCACGGTGGTACCCGTTACCGTCGCTCAAGATGATCATCATGCAGTTGCCCCAGCTGTGCTTACAAACGACGTCACTCAAAACTTCTCTGTCGCAAGGGCAGACCTGCGTGGCGGGGGTACATCCACCACCACCGTATGGGGGATCGATGTCCTGGGACATCGGCCGGCGGCGGACCTACATCTCTATATAATAATAATAATAATAATAATAATAATAATAATAATATAATATAATATAATATAATATAATATAATAATAATAATAATAATAATAATAATGATGATAATAATAATAATAAGAACAATGATAATAAGACTAATAATACTAAGAATAACAATAATAAGAAAAAGAATAACAAAAATAATAATAATAATGTATATCTAGATGTGTGCAAGCATGTGAAACTAGACTTGCATACATATCGTGACCCAGCGTGGACACAAACCAGCGAGTTATTGCGCCGTGGAGGTGGAAGCTCTGTACGCTATGTCGTGCTAGCTACGCTATGTCGTGCTAGCTATGTGGTGTGAGCTATGAAAGATGAGGGAGGTGCGCTGTATAGTGAATGTATACCTATGTGCCTGCATGCCCAACCTTGAGGACCAAAGCGCATGGCGCCAAGCACAGATGCAGTCTTGTATATACATACATGAATATGAATATTAGAAGCGCATTCCGAGGAGAGTCCACAAACGAGTGCTGCCGCTGCACCGAAGAGCATAAAGTGTCAGAACCAATATGCACGTTAAGGTCATGATCGTCATCATCATCGTCACCGGCGTCACTCAGAACATCGTAAATCCGCATGGTCAACATCATTACCGTCATCACCACCCTCACCGTTATCACAATCACCATCATCATCATCATCAGAATCGTCATCATCATCATCACCCTCGGCATCATCATCATCATCAGCAGCATCATCATCATCAGCATCATCATCATCGTCATCATTATCATCACCATCAAAATCACCATCACCATCACCATCATCATGATCAGCATCCTCAGCGGCATCATCATAATCAGCATCAGTAATAGTAGTTTCAGCTTCATCGCGTTCAGCACCATCGTCGTGGAACGCATCATCACCATCGTCTCCATCATCATCACTACCATCATCATCAACATCAGCAGCAGTATCATTAGTGTCAGCATCATCGTCATCAACATCATTGCAATCAGCATGTACCTCATCATCAGCATCATTCCTCTCAACAACAACATCATCATCAGCATCATCATTATTATTATCAGTATCCTGATCGTTCGCATCATCCTCATCGTCACTTGCATCAGCATCACCATCAGCACCATCATCCTCATCATCGTCAGCATCATCATCATCCTCATCAGTATCATCATCATCATCAGGATCATCACCATCATCATTTTCATCATTGACACCGTCAGCGTCGTCGTCGTCGCAACCGTCGTCGTCGTCGTCGTCATCGGCAGTGTCATCGTCATCGTCATCGCCATCACCATCATCGTCATCATCACCATCATAATCATCATCGTCGTCGTCATCGCCATCGTCACCCGAGCGCTCTCTCCAGTGACTTAACTTGCACTGCTGTCGGAGCCCCCTGCGAGCCCTCATAGGCCGCGCGGGTTCTCGTGGGAGTGCTCTTGGAGGCATCTTGGATCGTCGTGCCGGCCTACTTGGGTCGTGGGGAGGCGATTGGGGGAGTTTGTTGGAGTGTGTCGGGAGCCTTGGGGGCTCTCCTGGTCCGCCTGTGGGCCGTCTGGGACATCTCAGGGGCGCCGCGGGGGCAAGTTTCGGGCTCCCACGTGGTCTCCCTCATGCTTCCAGTTTCACATCCTTCTCTTTCGTCTCGCCCTCTGGGCAATGAAAACGCCCAGCAACGCCCCTGGGAGACTGCCGCGAGGCATCCTCTCTCCTCATCCCTCCCTCCTTCCCGCGGGGTGGACCTAGGCCAAAACGGGTGTTTCATGAGAACTCCCTTCTATTTCAAGATGAGCCTGGGACCACTTCACGATGGAGGCGGGGGGGAGGAAGGAGTGCAGGAGAGATGAGGCGGAAGGGGGCGAGAAAGGACGCCACGGGGAAAAGGGAATCTGAGAGCGATCGCGGGGGGGGGGAGGGAGATGGAGAGAGGGTCGATCGTGGCAGTCTCCGAGGGGCGTTCCTGGGGAATCTGCAAAACCCAGAGCTGCTGCTGCTGCTGCTGCTGCTGCTGCTGCTGCTGCTGCTGCTGCAATCTGCATCGATGCCCATACTAGCTAGCAAGAGCTATCCTCTCGCGGGCACCGCCGAGCCTGGGTTTACAGCTTACCAGGGGGCCTGGGACTCCAAAGAGGGAACGCGAGGCCTGGTGGCGCCGTGCGCGTCGGCTCCAGCTGCGAGCCAGTTCTGCGGAGCCGCCTCGGGATCTCCGAGGGCCTCTGGCCTGTTCTCGGAACGGACAGCGAGGGACGGGAGAGGCGGAACTGCATCATGTGGGGTGGGGGCTGGGGCTTCCTTTCCTCCTTTTTTCAAGTTGGGGATGTGCAGGTTTCCTTCCGAGGTTTTCCTGTGGCGAAGCTGAAAGCGAGGGTGTGTAGGTTGCCTGTCCTCATTTACAAGTTGGGGATCCCAGCGCTTCGTGAGGCAGGCAGCTGGGTGAGAGACGGAGGGAGAAAGGAGTAAAGGAGAGATCATGTGCAGGAGGGAAAGAGCGGGTCACAACAAGAAAAAGGGAGAAGAGGGATCAGGGAGGAGGGAGAGAGCATGTCTAGTGACAGTTTCCTGGGGGCTGCTGTTGGATATCGTCAACGCCTTCCTGGGGCATGTTGCGGGCGTCTCGTGGGGTCTCGTGGGGCCTCTTGGAGGCCTCTTGGGGGTCTCGGGGGCTCTCGGGGGGCTACTGAGAGCTTCTTAAAGGTATTTTGGAAGCCCTTTGGGCTTCTAGGAGCCCGTGGGAGCCCTCTGCCCGGCTCCTGTTTTATGTTCGGAGCCTCCTGGGAGCCTCGTTGGGGCATCGTGGGTGCCTCTTCGAGCGTCCAGGTGGCCCCTTGGGCTCTCACACGTTTCGTGGCCTCATAGGGAGCTCCGCCGAAGGCCCTATCGGCAGCGCCCGAATGCGGTTCCACCCCCCTTTCGGTGCACCGCTCACACGCTTCGTGGCCACATAAGGAGCTCCACGGAAGGCCCTATCGCCAGCTCCCGCATGCAGTTCCACTCTCCGTGTCGGCGTGCCCCTCGCACGTTTCGTGGTCCCGTCAGGAGCTCCACCGAAGGCCCCAGTGGCAGCGCCTGCATGCGATTCCACATCCATGTCGGTGTGCCCCTCACACGTTTCGTGGCCCCATGAGGAGCTCTAACGAAGGCCCCAGTGGCAGCGCCCGCACGCGGTTCCACCATCCATTTCGGCACACCCCTCACACGCTTCGTGGCCGCATAGGGAGCTCTACCGAAGGCTCCAGTGGCAGCGCCCGCCTGTGGTTCCACATCAATTTCGTTACATCCCTCACACGCTTCGTGGCCCCATAGGGAGCTCCACCGGATGCCCCAGTGGCAGCGCCCGCATGCGATTCTACCCCCGTTTCGGTGCACCCCTCACACGTCTCGTGGTCCCCTGAGGAGCTCCACCGAGGGCCCTAGTGGAAGCGCCCGCATGCAGTTCCATTCTCCATGTCGGCGAAACCATCGCACGCTTCGTGACCCCATAGGAAGTCATTTACGGCATCAGCGGCAGCGCCCGCATGCGGTTCAACCTTCCATTCCGACGAATCCATCGCACGCTCGTGAACCCATAGGAAGCTCCACCGATGGCCCCAGCGGCAACGCCAGCATGCGGCCCCACCTCCATTTCAGTGCACCCCTCTGACGTTTCATGGTCCCGCAAGGGGGCTCCACTGAGCCTCTGGTGGCAACGACCTCATGCGATTCCACCTTCCATGTCCGCGAACCCCTCGCACGCATCGTGGCTCCATAGGGGGCTCCACCTAAGGCCACAGTGGCAGCGCCCGCATGGCGGTCCCGCTACATTTTGGCACACCCTTCAAGCGCTCCGTGGCCCTATAAGAAGACCCACTGGCGGCGATATTCACAACGACGGCACCCACAACTGCAAATGGTTGGGCCCTGCGCCAGGATAATTGAAGTTGGGCTCCCTGCCGCTTGATGGAGTAGGAGAGCGGCGCGAGGAAAAGAGAGAGAGAGAGAAGGAGAGAGGGATCAGGGAGGAATGAGGGAGGAGGGGAGAGGAGCCGCCTCCTCCGAGTTCGCAACATGTGAGGATGTCTCGTAGAAGTTTCCTGGGAACCTCTTGGACGCGTCTTGAACGCCTTCTTGCAGCTTCTTGGGGGCGTCACTTGGGACCTCTTCTGGCATCTTGTGGGCCTCTTAGGGGCCGCTGTGGGGCTCCCAGACGCTCTTGGGGGCTTTGGGGGCCCCTCTCTGGCGCTCCTGGGGCTTTCGGGAGCATCTTGGGAGCCTCTCGGTCGCATCCTGGGAGCTCTTCAGAGCGTCGTGGGAGCCTCTTTGGGGCATCGTGGGTGCCTCTTCGCGCGTTCTGGAAGCTTCGTAGGGTCACCTGGCCCCTCGTGGGGCCGCTTGGAGCGCCTCTTGGAGCCATCTTGGAGTTCTCTTGGAAGTCATGCGCAAGCCTCGGGGTTGTTCAATGGTTTGGGCTTCTCGAGGGTTTCCTTGTGCCTCTCCTGGAAGATGTTGGGGGTGTCTTGGAGGCCTCGTGGGGGTCTCGTGGCCGTCGGGAGAGTGTCTGGGCCGTCTGAAAGCTCGTGTGGGGTGTCTCGGAACAATCCTGGGCAGTCCCGAGGCCCTCCTAGGGGCTTCCTGTGAGGCCCAGGAAGGTGGTACCGGGAATTTGCCGCAAGTGTCGTCGAGATGTGCGGTGCCCGGGGAGGTGGGGGGGCAATGTTGTTCATATTTGTTGTTGGTGTATATCTCTTTATGTGTGTACACATGTAAACATGTACATGAGTAGACAGACATGGAAGCATAACAGCATAGCAGATAACATATATACACTTACATATGTATCTAGATATATGTATACATATGTGTGCATAGACGGCTACACAACTACATATTCATGTATACATCGATGTACACATATCGATATATATATATA